AAAACTAAAAGAGATACATCATTCTGGTTTCTTATCATCATACTTCAAGACAACTTCTTCTCCACATCACAATTTCGTCTCATTTGGGTCAGTATGGATGGGCACGGATGCCACCCCACACCTCACCCAAGTTACCCAATTAAGTAGGTGTGTGGAGAGGTTTACTAATATAAGCTCCCAACACGATACACTTTACGGCGTCGTCTGTTATCATAATGTAAACAATCTTTGCGTTCCTGGGAGATTTGGGAGTTGGGTTCGGGTTGAGTTAGGTTATGGTGGGTTAACGGGGTTTTTTCGGGGGTTTTCTTGCGGTCTTAGATATCTTAGATGGGTTTAACTGGTTTACAGGGATATCATTGAAGTTTCCGGAAGTTTGTTAAAGTTTAGCTAGACGCCATTGTTCGTAAGGATTCAGTTAGAGCCGATTTTCCGCATGGGTTCAACTAGATCCCCATGGTTCAGAGGAGTTTAACAAATCTTTACTGTTTTGTTGGATTCGGTGTTGTTCACAAGGATTCAACGATGCTCTGGTTCATGAAAACTTATAAGGGTATATGTCGTGATTCATCGATGGTATTGAGTCTCCAAGGTTCTCTGCGGTTCTACTCTATTGATTTGAGTCACTTAGTCAGGGAATTCCCCCCTTGGTTCTCTACAGCACAGCCCGACACAATTCATTACATCTCGGTGAATCAACACGGTTTCCTGTGGTCCGCCGTGGATCCGTGGTTTTCTTGATATACGTGAATCTATTGTTTCTTCAGCGGTTCAACACGAAAGCATGCTTCACGGTAAGAGGTGAATCCACGCGGGTTCGAACTATTTCATTTCAACTCGTCTCCGGTTCATTGAGGTTCGACACGTAACTCGGCGGTTCTTTGAGGTTCGACGAGCGTCACTCTAGGCTCAGCTAACACCTGTCTAATACTAACAGCATGTGAAGTGACAGAAAGAGTGTGGCTGGTGGCTGGGGCATGACGAGGTCCACACACACACACAACACAAGACCCGTCATGACCTACTGTTGTTGTGGCCATCATGCTCACCCGGCCAGCCACGACTACGCTCCTCCAGGCTCCGGGAGCATAGGTGTACTCTATGCTCTCTTCATGCTCTCCACTACAGCCTGTTATCTACCATGTTAAGGACTATAAAAGAATTATGTTTGTGTTAACAATAGTATAGTTAATTTTATCTTTTCTCATATTTCCGAGTTATGTAAGAGAGTAGTTATGTACTTTTATACATATATACAGTATGTATACGTATATATGTGTGTTTTAAACGTGGTATTACTTGTTTCGCTGTCCAGTATTTAGGGTAATTAAAACATTTAGGTAAAGATACCCTCAGGGACGGTAGCAAAAGCTCAAAGTTAGATGTTACATCAGAGAACAACAAGGTAGGTGTTGTAACAATAGCCGTTAATTATTGCAGTAATAGATAAATCTGGTGTTGCAACATTACCAAAGTTAGGTGTTGTACCAATACAAAATGTAGATTTTGCAACAATTTTATTTGTTTTGTAACATTATGGAAGATAACGTATTGCAACATAGGAGTAAGTTAGATGATGCAACAGCAGTAAGTTAGGTGTTGCAGCAACATCACTAAGTTAGGTGTCGCCAAATAATCAAGTTAGGTATTAAGATAAGATCAGGTTGATCATTCCAACAATAACAGTAGATAAACTATTGAAACAAGTCATGAAGGAAGTGTTGCAACAAGAACTTATTATCACTCCTGCTGTCTCTCTTGTTATCTGTATAAGCATGTCCTTCTTGTCATATTCAGACAAACTAATATTTGTTGTCCTAGATTCCCAGAATTCCAAGTTGGATTCCTGTTCAGATTCTAAGTCAATTTCTAATTTAATTTCAAGTCGGATTCTGAGGCAATAGGACTGTGGTTCTCGGTTAGGTGTGACTACATGCTAAAGCTTCCTTCTTCTCAGCTAAAGCTTTCATTCGTTTGATTAAAGCTTCTCTCCAGACAGTTAAAATTCTCCACCACTCGGCTAACTTGACCAACACTCCCAGTCAGCTACACCTTAAGCTCGTGAATTTGAAGCTATACTCCTGCTGGGATCTCACTTAGCTTCCTGACTGTAACTAATGTTGATATACGCTCAGTAGAATTTTAGTTTCCATCCACCTAATTTTTTTATGACTACTTAAAGCTTTCCTTCAATCATTTAAGTATTTGTTGGTTGTTTTCCAGCTTAAATTTTTCCCTATGTAGTTAAAGCCTTTTTTATTTCAGCAAAAGCCTTAACGCCATTTAATTAGATTTTTCTTTCAGTTAAAGTTTTTCCTTTAATTAATTATACAGTATTTATTTTTGCATTTCATTACAGCTAAAGTTTTTTCCTATGTAGTTTAATCCATTTCTTTCAGCTAAAGCTTTTCCCTATGTAGTTAAACCAACTTCTTTCCGCTAAACCTCTTCCCTTTTGAACTATTTATTTCAGCTAAAGTTTGTCTCAATGTAGTTATACGTTTTATTTTTCAGCTAAAGCTTTTCCCCCAATAAAGCTATAATTTCCTTTTCTATAATTATTCATTTATTTTTGTTTCATGCAGGTAAAAATTCCATTATTTTTTGTGTTTTTTTTTAATAATAATTTTTTTTGTTTCCAGGTGTTATTTTGTTGTCACTTAAGATGTCATGTCAAGGGTTAAGAGTCGACACTGTACTGTTTATGTAACCCGTGTGTGTGTGTGTGTGTACCGTAGGTGTTTATTATGCGTATCTAGGGGTGTGACAGGCCGAGTGGATATAGTGCTCGCCACCAGACCCAATGATCCCTGGTTTGACTCCCGCGGTTGACCACTGGTAGGGGAGCCTTCAGTCGACCCACTTGCAGTATGGTGCTCGAGTGACTCAGTACATCAGTATGCCATCCACACCACCTCGAACACCTGTGGGACACTCACTCTCAGTCTTAAAAATCAGTGCAGTGGGCAACGTTGAACCCTTGGTCTAAAGTTCAGGGAGTTCAGATTTAGTATGAAACTGATTTTTAGGCTCACACACACACACACACACACACACACACACACACACACACACACACACACACACACGTACGATAGAAAAACAATATCGCGCCAAGTCAACTTATAATCCTTGACCTGACATCTTGAACATCAATTTTCTTAATTTGTTTTTGTTTTCTGTTTTAGATACCTTTGGTTACCTGTCATCTCATTTTCTTTCCATTGCAATCTGTGACCTTTTTCATCCCAATGTGACTGTCCTGTGACCTGCCTTTGACCTCTGACTCCAATATCACCCTCTGTGACCTGCCTTTGACTTCTGACCTAAATATCACCCATCTGACCTTCCATTCCAGTGTGATACTTTTGTGGCCTGCCTTTGACCTCTGACTCCATTATCACCCTCCTGTGACCTGCCTTTGATTCTTGACCCCAATAACACCCATCTGTGACCTCTGACCCCAATAACACCCATCTGTGACCTCTGACCCCAATAACACCCATCTGTGACCTCTGACCCCAATAACACCCATTTGTGACTTCTGACCCCAATATCACCTTCTTCTGACCTTCCTGTAACCACCTGTGTTGTGACAATAATCAGTGTTGTCACAGCTGAGTGGCCGAGAACCACAGACAGGAGCCAGCTGTGTTGAGGCCACCAGCTGTGTTGAGGCCACCAGCTGTGTTGAGGCCACCAGCTGTGTTGAGGCCACCAGCTGTGTTGAGGCCACCAGCTGTGTTGTTATATAGGACCAGCAGTGCAGTATAGGTAGGCTTGTGTATTAATATCTATTGTTCCTCTCTCTATCTATTGATGCATATCCTGATATGTAAGGTTTAACTGATCATTAACTGCAGTTCTGTTAACTTGAAGATAAAGAGAATATATAAGTATACTCATTGCTAAAAACAACTCACCATAGAAAGCCAGAAGAGTGTAATCAGCATGATGTCTGCCAGCAACTGTCGACTTAATGTAGAGGTTCCGTAAGGGTTAATGTTGATCCCCCCCAGATAAACACCCCCTCCCCCTCCCTCCCCCCCAAAAGCAGAACAAATTCGTAACGCTGAATCACATACGTTGTATTCCCTAGTACTTTGATGATACTGTACATTTTTTCTTAACTGCTTTTTTATTATGCTGATTTACAGTGGGGAGAAGTCAGCTGTGACCACCCCAGTTGTAGCTTCGGCAGAACCCAACGCTGTGTAAATTAATTACCATTAGTTTTGGTATTGCACCAGGCTGGTAGGGCCCGCCCCTGCCGGTGTAGCTAGAAAGTAACCGCTAGAGGCGCCTCACCACCACGCCACCCTCCACCACCGCTGCCTCCTCACCGTGTATACTTTCAGTAAAATATTGTAAACTTAGTATGTTAACATGATTCGAGTAAAGTGTGGAGGAGGTAGCAGTGAGGTGTGGCTGGGGTGGGTGGTGGGCGCGTCATGTGCAGACTTGCCCGCCATTAACCCGGGAGACGGGGCCTGCATCTGCCCCACTCCCTGACTGCTTGTGTCAAATTGACGTCACACAAACTAATACCCATCTTCATTTATTTTCATCACCATTATCAGTAACACCATGTTGCTAAGTGCCAAGATAAGTTTAAGTTTATTAAGAACAAAAAGTAAGCCTTAAGTTTGATTAACTTTCATGATCATCCTCTTGTTCTCAGGCCCATCAACGTTCATCTCTTATTTCTTTATTTCTAATATTATAAATTTCAACATGTTTAATATTTGATGAAATCTGAACATCGTTTAATGTTAAATGAGGATGACTAGAAGGCAAGTGTATATCAGCAGACGTACATCACTAGTTGAACAAGTACAGTGTGTTGTGTTGACTGGCCCACGTGACCACCACGTCTGCTAGTGTGTGTGTGTGTGTGTGTGTGCGTGTGTGTGTGTGTTGTCCATTAGCCGTGAGGTTGCCCGCTGGGCTTGCACATTCCAGCACAATACTAACAGCGTTCCTTGACCTACCTACCACAGCCCCCATCAGTCCACGTCGCCAGAAACTCAACTTGCGAATGAAAAGTTTCTCACTTGACTCTCCGGAGTCGACTGAGCACGTACATCGCAGGCGCCACGGAGGCTCCTCCCACGTCAGCCACGCCTCCTCACACAGCCAATGTAAAGCTCGCAGCCACGTGCACGTAGCACGCCCACCAATCATATCCTTCTACGTCACTATTCTCTTAACTACTCTGACCAAAGGTCTTGTTGCTAAGCACCAGCTCCAGGCCACCATTTTCTCATCTCAGTGTTTGCCGTTTTGCATAGTCTCTTACAATCAAATTCAATAATGTCATTTTATACTTGTCCAACTCTTTCGTATGTCCCAGAAAACTTTAAATTTTTATTAAAAATTCCTTCGTAAACTAGTATTGATAGCATAAACTATGATAGAATGCTTGAGATGAACATGTGATGTTAACTAACGTAGCCAGACTCTGTTGAATGTTACTAAATTCGATGTTTATTCTGGCCACCGGAGCTTCCTCACACCCTGCTCTCACCGTTGTTGTGCTTCTTGTTCGTTCCTACACTCAATCACTAGCCGTTGTCTCCAGGAATGACCGCCACAAGCCACACTGTGCTTACCTCTCTCATAACTTTGTCAGTGATGGCATCACTTAGACACTATTTTTGGAGGCACCTCGTCAGATGTCATAAAGATCTTCGCTTCTCTGAGTTTCTGGCATGTTCGTTACTTAGTCGCTGTTCTTAGCCATGCTACCACCTACACCTCTCCTCTTTTATATTTAATCATATTTTTCCTCCTATTTTATCTCCCCAGGTTATCCCACGTCTTGTATTGCCTCGGTGATGATGTTTACCCTCATTTCTGCCATGTTTATGTCTCCTTCTTTATGTATTGACATTTTTTTTATCGTTTAAGTCAAGTGTCAGCCACGTGTCGCAACCCTTCCATAAAACCCTGGCCTGGGCTGTGACTCCCTGCTAACAATGTGTAGAGTAAAGTGGGCCGTGTGTGTGTGTGTGTGTGTGTGTGTTGTGAGCGCCCGGGTCAGGTTGGTTATGGCGGGGGTGTGACATTGCTCTGCTCTCCTCTCCTCTTGGTTCGCGATTCTTATGCATGTTTACAATCGTATGTTGAAAAGTTTTTTCTTTTCGTTGTGCAAATTTATGTAAATTTTAAGGCATTTTTTAATATAACATTGTATATTTTTTACATTACGGTGTTAGCCAAAATCTGATATTTTGTATAGAATAAATATTTTTGGCGAGTTTAAACATTTTTGCTGCATTTTTTTTTTTTTGTTCACCAAGGCCCGGACATAATATTTTTAGGTCGAGGTTATAGAAATTTGCATTTTTTTTTTAACAATACCTCTTATTTTTCTGAGGTGCCACTTAATAACGACATATTTTTTGGTCGGTAAGGCACATCTGCCCAGCATCATGCGAATTTTCACTTAGATATTATTGTTGTTTTTGCCACACACAAGAGGGAGGTTACAGTGATGAACCTTGGTAACTGTTGTGGCCAAACACGAAATCTAACAATGACTTCTTTAGCACCGCCTCTAAAGCACACCAATAAATAAAGCAGACGAGGTGATTGTCACTACCAGCACCTACAGCACCTCACTGCCGCTATACGAACAAGAAGTCAGCACTGTAAATTCTCTAAGCAATAAGCGGATATATTTTGTTTGGCCAATTCCTCCTGGATAAATGCCCTCCCCCAAAAAAAAATCCGATTTAAACCACCTTCTTAGCTATGATAAAATAGTTTTCTATAATATTTTTCTATCCTAAACGATTATTATTATTTTTTTTTTTATTATCATCAACATAAGCAGTCAAGAGCCGTCCGTTTTAAGCCATCCATTTTGATAAAATAAACTAGATCTTGTTCTTATTAAATCCGTGGCCTTCATAACGATGTTAGCATTAGCATTGTCACTCAAGTGTGTGTCTGTGTGTGTCTGTGTCCCTCTGTGTGTGTGTGTGTGTCTGTGTGTATCCCTGTGTGTGTGTGTGTGTGTGTGTGTAGCCTCCCTCTGTGTATATTCCTGTGTGTGTGTGCGTGTGTGTGTGTGTGTGTGTGTGTGTGTATCCTCCTCTGTGTATAATCCTGTGTGTGTGTGTGTGTGTGTGTGTGTGTCCTCTGTGTATATTCTTCTGTGTATATTCCTCTGTGTGTGTGTGTGTGTATCACCTCCTGTGTGTGTGTGTGTGTGTATCACCTGTGTGTGTGTGTGTGTATCACCTCCTGTGTGTGTGTGTGTGTATCACCTCCTGTGTGTGTGTGTGTGTCCTCTGTGTATATTCCTCTGTGTGTGTGTATCACCTCCTGTGTGTGTGTGTGTGTATCACCTCCTGTGTGTGTGTGTGTGTGTGTGTGTGTGTGTGTGTGTGTGTGTGTGTCCTCTGTGTATATTCCTCTGTGTGTGTGTGTGTGTCCTCTGTGTATATTCCTCTGTGTGTGTGTGTGTGTGTCCTCTGTGTATATTCCTGTGTATATTCCTGTGTGTGTGTGTGTGTATCACCTCCTGTGTGTGTGTGTGTGTATATCACCTCCTGTGTGTGTGTGTGTGTGTGTGTCCTCTGTGTATATTCCTCTGTGTATATTCCTGTGTGTGTGTGTGTGGGGGTCACTAAGACTACTTCTCATTTTCTTGATAACCTCAGATGGTTTAGGAGTTAGGAGAGAAAAGAGATTACTCAAGGGCCATGGTGGGAAATTAAGGGCCATGGTGGGTACTCAAGGGCCATGGTGGGGGGCCATGGTGGGTACTCAAGGGCCATGGTGGGAAATTAAGGGCCATGGTGGCTCAAGGGCCATACCATGGTGGGACTCAAGGGCCATGGTGGGAAATTAAGGCCATGGTGGGTACTCAAGGGCCATGGTGGGATCTCATGGTGGGAAATTAAGGGCCATGGTGGGTACTCAGGGCCATGGTGGGAAGTCCATGGTGACTCAAGGGCCAACCATCCATGGTGGAATGGGGGCCATGGTGGGTACTCAAGGGCCATGGTGGGAAATTAAGGGCCATGGTGGGAAATTAAGGGCCATGGTGGGTACTCAAGGGCCATGGTGGGAAATTAAGGGCCATGGTGGGTACTCAAGGGCCATGGTGGATACGTAAGGGTAATGATTTTAATTGTCCTTCTCTAACCTGGGTTTAAATTGTCCTCATTTCACATAGGTTTAAATTGTCCTCATCTCACCTGGGTTGAACTGTTATCTCACCTGGGTTTAATTCTCATCTCACCTGGGTTTAATTGTCCTCATATCACTTGAATTTAACTGTCATCTCACCTGGGTTTAAATTGTCCTCATTTCACCTGGGTTTAAATTGTCCTCACCTCACCTGGGTTTAAATTGTCCTCATTTCACCTGGGTTTAAATTGTCCTCATCTCACCTGGGTTTAAATGTCATCTCACCTGGGTTTAACTGTCCTAAAATCATCCGGGTTATCAAGAAGAATAAATTTTTTAATGATACTTTTTTTTTTAATTTAAGTGTTGACGAAGAATGCCAGCAGCGTTATGAAGGCTCCTGACCTCCCATCAACTCTACCCTCTTCCCTCCCTCCCCTTCCACTCTCTCTCTCTCTCTCTCTCTCTCTCTCTCTCCCCTCGCTAGTGTTGTGGCAGGCGTGAGGAGACGAAACACACGGCACCCTTATTAATATTGTCTGAAGATCAACAATATCTCTCCCACTGGCAAGAAAATTAGGGATAATAAAAATAATATACCTCATTTTTTTTTCTTTTTGTGTCAAATTATAGATTTTTTTTTTTCAAGCCATTTTTTTTTTTATTGTGTTGCCCTTCAGGAGAGTCTCGGAGTGATCTTTGTGGTGAGTTAGTGTGATACAGGGTGAGAGCAGCGCCCTCCCACCCCCTTCCCACCCCCCCTCCTCGCCCCCTTCAGCAGGTTGATGAGCTCTGCCCTCCATTTCTCCCTCTTGTTTCAGAACCTAAGCTCTCGGTGTTCGCGCTGGGCATGATCGCCTCCACAAAGTCCCGTACAACCCACCACTACTACCACCAACACCGTCCCAAATCGCCCTTTTACAACCACCTAAAGAGCCACACTGGTACTCCTCCACCTAGTGCACACGGGGGCTCAGAGCTCCCCGCCCCGCCTCTAGTATACCTTCTAGTATTTCCCTCCCCTAGACTCTAGACAAGAGTAATCCATTTGACATGTTCATCGACTCCTCAGTGACTAGATACATTTTCCTGATTAGTTTTAGTCATCACTAGCGTCCTGAGAGCATCTTGCCTTCATTTCCTTTTTAAACTGAGAAGTAAATTAACCTAGAAATGTTTTGTCGTATGTATTCAGTACTCAAGGCAGTGAATGTGGACTTGTCTCGCTAGAAGTGGTCGTGGTGAAACTAGATATTATAAACTGTGGTGTGTGAGCAGCTTGTTACCCCGAGTGTTGTGCAGCGGGGCCGGGCCAGAACCTCCCCGCACCCACCACCCGCCGCCACCGCTGCACACACACTCACCAACTCCTGTGTGAGACAACCAGGAGCACCAGCGACTCAATATTTCCCGACCCCCTATGGAGTTCTTGTCTCCTGCTACGTCAGTGCATCGTAATAACTCGTATACCTTTATTTGACTGTTAGCTGCAACGATACTAGTCCGGGCCTGAGTTAGATATATATTTACAGTATATACATATATATATTTATATGAAGGTGTCTATGTGAGACTTGATAGACAGCTTAAACATCATGTACGTATATTATACATTGTATTAGTTGTAGACTATTGACCTCCAAAGCTGTGTACAGTCCGTCAAGATCTCCACGTGACCGTCTTGAAACTCTCCTCATAGCCATTTTATGAATATGGTAATATTTAGACTAGTATTACTTGCTGAAGTTATTTTATGACATGTATACTTGCCTGGTAACAGGGCACACTATAAGCATTTACAGAGTTTGTGTGTGTACAGCCATCCTAGGAGAAAGTTACCAGGTCCCTCAGTCTGGTGCGGCAGCTTGTGTCCCCCACACCTGGGTTACAATGCTGCACTTTTTTTTCACATTCGGGGACTTGGAAACAACTTTGATTTTTTTTGTTTGGAATCTTTTTTCTGTAACATGTTGTCACGGCTGCTGAAGTTAATCCCGAGCGGTGTGTCCCTGAGGCAGACGCTGGTGTATAAACAGGTTGACTGAGGGACACATCCATCGGGGTGCTGGCGGGGCCGTGGTGTGTGTGCATGGCTCACTTGTGTTGGACGCTCCGTCGTGTTTTGACTTGTGACTGCATGTTTGCTTGCCTCCGCGCATTACCGCTCTAGCTAACCAAGTACTCCAAATTTAGTGATAATTCTGTCTAAAACTATTTTTTAAGATGCAATATTTAGTAACTTAACGATGTTTTATTGGACTATAAGATTTTATTTAGTTTTTGAAATATTCTTGGAAGAATAAGTTATTTTTGTACACCAATGTACATGTATGTAAGTATTTTTCCGGCAAGTTAGCAAATATGCACTCATAAATGGCTGTTAAACTCTGGCTCTCAGAAGAACGATGAGAATTATCACTATATGAAGGCATTTAGGGGAGTTAGAGTGAGGCGCGGCCCAGGCCTCGCTGAGACAGGGCTCTGGTGCCAGTGATGTTCTGTAACACCTGAGTTGACCTGATCTTCTCTTCATAATCATTGACCTGGGAGATTGTACTAGTTGATTCTTCATCTCTAATTCTGCACTAACTACTGTCACTCTTAAGCACTTTGAATTGTCACTTGGTAGGCGATATTTAGTGGGTTGGCCTATGGTCCCGCTGCCTCGAGTTCCTTTATCACCACGAGAAACACGAGGCGGACCATCACGGCTGCTCACTCTTTGTGGCCCTGCACTTATAATTAGTGTTATTACCTAGTTCTTCACTGTAATTATACCCAATCAATTAGAGTAGTTTTCTTGATCCAGTAATTGATCCTTGAAGCTCACTATCTCCCTTTCTCTTTCATACGAGGCTTGTTGATTCATCCCAACAGTGAGGGAGGTGGCGGAGCGGGGAGCGTGACCCACACAGCCCCCTGCATCACGGCCGCCTCCCACACCTCGCCTGCTTGTCTAACCTGCCCCGTGTCGCCCCACAGCGCCCTCCAGCCCAGTCCACAACCGGCGCCTCCTCACCGCCCGCAACATGAGAATGAGCTCAGTAGAACTACCTGACGAAAACGAGAAGTCCCTCAGTTCAGCCAGCACCTCCCCTTGTCCTTCACCCGTAAGTAAAGTAAGTATCAGGGGGCTGGGTTGTTATGGAGGAAGAGGATGGTGATGATGATGGTGGTGGTGATGGTGGTGGAGTGGCTGCCCCTGCACACAGACCTCGCACGATGGCTGGTTCTCACATCACCTGGCCTTGGTCCCTCTTCCTTGCCTGCTGTTGCTGCTGCGCCTGCTGCTCATGGTGGTGGTGATGATGGGGGTAACTGAGGGAGGGGGGTACTGGGGGGAGGGTTGTTATCCTAATTTCTGCCACGCGTGATGACGAGTGTAGTATAATTATGTCGAGTTGAATTGTTTTTTAAATATGGTATTTTTTTTAGCTTTCCATCCTTTATATGTGTAATGTAATAATATATGCATGTTTTTATAATTATCTGTTACACACACACACACATATATATATATATATATATATATATATATATATATATATATATATATATATATATATATATATATATATATATATATATAGTTTTATTTACAAAATCATTACAAGGTGGATATTTTGATCTAAACCTATATTATTCGAGAGAAAACGTATTATTTGGCATGAAGTAAGCACGAAGCAGTATCAATAACAAACATGGCGTCGCCAGTTATACAGCTAATCTTCGCCTGTCATACAGCCAATCTTCACCAGCCATTATAGCCAGTCTTCGCCAGTCATACAGCTGGGAGGCTGCATGAGTTAGCTGTTATTTCCGGGAAGATAATGTAGTCGACTCTAGCTTCCCGTGCTGCGCTATACGTAACTCTCATCTCTACCACCAGAGAGCGTCATGATGTGTTCCTCCTCTTCCTGCTCCTCCCCCTCCTCCTCCTTGCACTTTTATATCGCCATTATTGTGGAGGATGTGACGTTACGAGTACCCAGACTCAGATTCTCCTCACAACACAACTCGCTTTTGGTAACAGCAGTGTACGTGGCAGGCAGCAGTACTGACGTCATCTAGTTAACAATATCTTCAACTTATATCACGCGCTTCTTCATCTACGACCAATGTGTGGATCATATGGTGACTCTCCTCCACAATAAGGCCCACTGTGTGTGTGAGGTATCCTGTACACACCGAATGTTCCTGGGAATTGTTTGGTGCTCATCTGTATGATAAAGAGTTAACACGTGTGCTGTCAGTCATAAAAATGGCCTAAACCTTCAGTTATAGAGTCTATATTCACGCGGTTCTTATGTGGGATAAGAGCTAGATATCGCTTCTTCCCTATCATTGTCAGCACGAGCAATCACCACTGCTTGGCGATCTTCTTCATTTGTGGAAACTGTTTTTTATTTAACATTTACTGATTTTGTGGGGCTCTCAGACGGCAGGAGCATCAGTGACACTCGGAAGGAAGGCAGTAGGTGGCGGTGGTGCTGATTATACGTTGGTCTCCCCCTGCAGTGGCAACCACCTGGAATAATGCACCTTGATGCAGGGCAGCTGGGCGGAATCTCTTCATTACCTGAGAGTGTGTCATGTATGGTAATTAGGTCACAGCTGTCGGCAATACGTGGACACTGACCTTCCTGAGACACCTGTCTGTCGCAGTGTCTGCTGGTACACAGACTGACGTCTCAGTGTGTCTGTCGCAGTGTCTGCTGGTACACAGACTGAAGTCTCAGTGTTTCTGTCGCAGTGTCTGCTGGTACACAGACTGAGGTCTCAGTGTGTCTGTCGCAGTATCTGCTGGTACACAGACTGAGGTCCCAGTATTTGTCATATCGTCTGATGGGACGTCTCAAAGTAGTCGAATTTCATCTTAAACGTTTCCAAACACTTATGAGATAAGTTTGGAAACTTCCGGGCCGAAAAATCCCCAAGTTACAACGTCCATAATTGAAACGTTTATAGGTTACAAGGTCCGTGGAGGAAACATTCTCTGGCTACAACGTCCGTGACTAAAATGTTCTCAGGCTACAACGTCCGTGACTAAAGTGTCCCCAGGCTACAACTTCCGTGACTAAATGTTCTCAGGCTACAAAGTCTGTGGAAGAGACATTCTTAGGCTAACAATATTAAGAGTTTGAAGCATTTTTGCTACACAATCGTCTTTCGTGGCCATAATCTCGTATTTCATGGCCAAGGTATCAAAGCTAAGTGCCAACATCTCGTATACCGTGGCCTCGTGTACATATTTAACCGGTTTAAATCACTCGAGGTTTAGTTTCGTAGGAAAATTGGATAAACTGGTGCACCCCACGCCATTACAGGTGGGTGAAACTGCCAGGTGTCTACGTCTTTCTCCCACTTCCTTCTTGGTCGCCTTCCTGATGACTACCAGACTGTATTATTATTGTATTCCTCTTCCCCTCCATCCTCCTTCTCCTTCTCTTCATTCTCCTACTTTTCCTTCTCCTCCTTCTCCTTTACCTTCAGAGTTTCTACACATTTTCTCTCATTACTTTCAGTCTTTTACGTTTTCCCTTTCCTTTCATCATCACTGTATCATCTTATTTCTCCCTCTCTCTCTCTTTCTCCTCCCTTTCATCTCTGTGCTCAATTTATTTTTCTCTCCTTCCTCCCTCCTCTTCCCCATGCCTCTGCCCCCCTCTCCCACCTTGTCTCTTCCCCTTCCCACCTTCCCTTCCCACCTCAACTTTCTTCTCACCCTCCTCCTCCACACTCTCACTTCCTTACCTACCCCTACCCCTCACCATCTTACCTCACTCCCTTTCTCCCTTACCTCCTCTCTGGCAACTCACCCCCTTTTTCTCACCTATTCCCCACAGCATCCCCCACAGCCCCTCTCTTCTCTGGCATGTCGCCATCACCTGCCTCCTATTTTTTCCTTCATTTTACTTTTTCACCCCACAAAATGCATCTCTGCAATCTGTGTGGTGGTCAATGTTGACCTCTCTCTCCTCTCTCTCTCTCTCTCTCTCTCTCTCTCCTTTTCTTCCACCCATCTATTCCCATTCCTTACATTTCACCTTTCTTCCTTCGTTCTCTCCTCCATTCCTTCCTTTCTTCCTTCCTTCTTTCTTTCCTTCCTTCCTTCCTGCCTTCCTTCCTGCCTTCCTTCCTTCCTGCCTTCCTCCTTCCTTCCTCTCTTTCTGCCTTCCTTCCTTCCTTCTTTCCTTCCTTCCTTCATTCCTTCCTTCTTCCTTCATTCCTTCCTTCCTTCCTTTCTTCCTTCTTTCCTTCCTTCCTTCTTCTTCCTTCCTTCCTTCCTTCCTTCCTGCCTTCCTTCCTTCCTTCCTTCTTTCCTTCCTTCCTTCCTTCCTTCCTTCCTTCCTTCCTTCCTTCCTTCCTTCCTTCCTTCCTTCCTTCCTTCCTTCCTTCCTTCCTTCCTTCCTTCCTTCCTTCCTTCCTTCTTATTCCTTCATTCCTTCCTTCCTTCCTGCCTTCCTTCCTTCCTTCCTCCTTCCTCCCTCCTCCTTCCTTCCTTTCTTCCTTCCTTCTCCTTCCTTCCTTCCTTCCTTCCTTCCTTCTTTCCTTCCTTCCTTCCTGCCTCTCCTCCGTCCCGTTCCTCCTAATCTAATACAAACACGTTTATATGCTCTTCCACGTTCTATTTCATTTTTCCCTCTTGGCTTGTAAGTGCCGAGGAGGCCAATACTGCCGAGCCTTTGTTGTCCTCCTTCACTGCTGGGCCTTTGTTGTCCTCCTCCTCCTCCTCCTTCACTGTTCAGCCTTTTTGTCCTCCTTCACTGCTCAGCCTTTGTTGTCCTCCTTCACTGCTGAGCCTGTTGTCCTCCTCCACTGTTCAGCCTTTGTTGTCTTCCTCCTTCATTGTTCAGCCTTTGTTATCCTCCTCCTTCACTGTTCCTTTGTTGTCTTCCTCCTTCATTGTTCAGCCTTTGTTGTCCTTCTCCTTCACTGTTCAGCCTTTTTGTCTTCCTCCTTCGTTATTTCAGCCTTTGTTATCCTCCTCCTCCACTGTTCAGCCTTTGTTGTCTTCCTCTCATTGTTCAGCCTTGTTATCCTCTCCTTCACTGTTCAGCCTTTTGTTGTCTTCCTCCTTCATTGTTCAGCCTTTGTTGTCCTTCTCCTTCACTGTTCAGCCTTTGTTGTCTTCCTCCTTCATTGTTCAGCCTTTGTTATCCTCCTCCTCCACTGTTCAGCCTTTGTTGTCTTCCTCCTTCATTGTTCAGCCTTTGTTATCCTTCTCCTTCACTGTTCAGCCTTTGTTGTCTTCCTCCTCCACTGTTCAGCCTTTGTTATCCTTCTCCTTCACTGTTCAGCCTTTGTTGTCTTCCTCCTTCATTGTTCAGCCTTTGTTATCCTTCTCCTTCACTGTTCAGCCTTTGTTGTCTTCCTCCTCCACTGTTCAGCCTTTGTTATCCTTCTCCTTCACTGTTCAGCCTTTGTTGTCTTCCTCCTTCATTGTTCAGCCTTTGTTGTCCTCCTCCTTCACTACTCAGCCTTTGTTGTCTTCCTCCTTCATTGTTCAGCCTTTGTTATCCTTCTCCTTCACTGTTCAGCCTTTGTTGTCTTCCTCCTTATTGTTCAGCCTTTACCTTCTCCTTCACTGTTCCTTTGTTGTCTTCCTCCTTCATTGTTCAGCCTTTGTTGTCCTTCTCCTTCACTGTTCAGCCTTTGTTGTCTTCCTCCTTCATTGTTCGCCTTTTTTATCCTTCTCCTTCACTGTTCAGCCTTTGTTGTCTTCCTCCTTCATTGTTCAGCCTTTGTTATCCTTCTCCTTCACTATTTCAGCCTTTGTTGTCTTCCTCCTTCATTATTTCAGCCTTTGTTATCCTTCTCCTTCACTGTTCCTTTATTGTCTTCCTCCTCCACTATTTCAGCCTTTGTTATCCTTCTCCTTCACATTTCAGCCTTTTTTGTCTTCCTCCTTCATTGTTCACCTTTTATCCTTCTCCTTCACTGTTCAGCCTTTGTTGTCTTCCTCCTTCATTGTTCAGCCTTTGTTATCCTCCTCCTTCACTGTTCAGCCTTTGTTGTCTTCCTCCTTCATTGTTCAGCCTTTGTTATCCTTCTCCTTCACTGTTCAGCCTTTGTTAAATTACTTTAGTATTAAGCTATTTTCCTCCTCAGTTTTAGT